CTGGAGTATACACAAGTCACAAGGATTTGCAAGATGTTCGCAGATGACTGCACAAAGCACATTTTATCTGGGAAAAGTATATTATTAGATTTATCCTGTGAGGAGGAAAGATCAGCACACAGAGCAAGTAAAATTCGTTAAGTTTTCCAAATGTATGCACAAGAGAGGCCAGCTTCTGAATAATCTGTGACACATCAAACGCCACATGCATGCATGTGTATCATGTATCTAAAACGAATTCAAGTGGATTTGCAAAAAACAACAACTAGAAACAATATATTCACTGCTTTCTTTGTGAGTGTGCTTGTCCAGTGTTTCAAACACTGTGAACTGTATTTTCAGACCTGATGCCTGAAATGCAACCTGGGAGTCAGTTTTCTCTGTCTCCATCTAGTGTTTCTGCCTGAAGCCACTTTTTGAGATTTCCAACATCCAGAGCATAAATAGAAAACTACCACCTCCGTCTTCCTTTACCGTCAAAAAACAATAGGTCTAAAAAAAACCATACACACGCTAAGAAGACGGAAATCTTTATCATAAACTGTATGTTTCTCATCAATAGCATCGCTGTGCATGGGTCCACGTGTGAACATGCATGAGCCATCTGAAATACTGCGACTGAATAGACCTGATCATCAGAAGGGGGAAGAGGCTTGACCTGATATTTCCTCTGTTGTTTTGTCAGGAAAGGGACGTTATTGTAAAAGGTCTGTAAAGATAAATAACCTTGCCGTTTCCATGGCAAAGTCACAAACAGTGGCGGCCGAAGACAAAAGAGCAGAGGACAATAAATCCAACACTGTCAATTTTGTTTAGTTTTCAGAGTGTTTTTGAGGGAAATATGGTTTCAAAACAAGTGGCCACGTCCATATTTCCACAGACAAAGGGAAATTGGATCAGTTTTTTCTGCTTTTTTCTGAGCAGGTCACAGTTTCATCTTGTACATTACTTTCCAGGCCACGCCATCCTGATTGGTAATAGGAATATCTGACACCCTATTTTGCCTTTGGATCAGGAAACTCCTTGTACAGCTGTATACATGTTTTTATAGCCTCCGAAAGAAAGGGTATTGTCTTTAAATCCCTAAGAATGCTTTGTCCAGCCTTCATATTTAAGTGGAAAACCATCCCAGGCCCTTTTTTTTCGCAGGCTGAACAATCAAGAGTGAACACTTGCTTTATTGTTGAGGTCAGCCAGAGTTCATCTCATTAGAACAAATCCAGGGTCAAGCTGTCATCAACATTTCTTATCATACAAGTGTACATGAAAGAGGAACCAATATTACACACCTAACTCTATTAACATGTTTTGTGGAGTACTAGTGCATATGTGGAAAAGGTTTTGTGACTCGAGAGCTGATAACAAAAACGCCTCAAGTGATTTAAAAAATCTGGAGTTGTGAAGTTAGAAAAAAGTGAGATTACCAGACCTCTTCAGACAGCTCATCTCTGCTTAGAGACTCGAGACTACATAAGCTGCTACTAGCATAACACACCTGAATCTCAAAGCGTTGGTGACTGAGTTGCATTGTGGGTAACGTAGGTGCCTGGTTTTGACAAGGAGGAAGAATGCATAAAATAAAAATGATAGCTCTGGTTCTGCTGCATTGATTTTGATCCTTTTTTTAAAAAACGTCCATTGCGAGTCTGTCATGCTAAAGGAGTGCAATGCTAAATCAGTGGAGTGCGCATTAAACACAAAAAAGGAACTCTGCAATTCAGAATGTTTCTCAAAATAGGGTCTCAACTTTTATCCGGAACCTTTTTCTGCCATGGCCGCTCTCTCTGCCCCCCAACACTTCCCCATCTTCTCATCATCAGAGGAGACGAGCCTCGTCAGAAGCGAGGCGTGATGAGGAGTGGCCTTATCACTCCAATACAAGAGCAAACACAGGAGTCTTTACAGCACATCGTCTCAGGAAGCAGCGCACGGCAAGATTACTGCCCTTTAAGAAGCCCTAAGACACGACCAATCCCAAGTAGTGTTTTATCTTGACAGTTTGCAGCGCTTTGTTTGCCTTTTCTGTGAAGCCTGGGGATAAAAGAGCAGCCTCTGTGAGCTGTGTCTGATTAGGATCTAATTGTTAACATTCACTGTGCCTTTTTTATTATCACCCTGGTGCTGCCATACATGCAGCAGGTAAAGGCCTTTTCAGTGTTATGAAGGACTCTCCCCTTGCTGCTCTCGTGTGTTACTCAAGTACTAGTTAGCACTGAGGTGGCAGGAGAGGAGCCCCCAGCTCTTCGACATCAACAACAACAACAACAACAACATCAACAAACAGGAATTGATGGCGAGTGTTTATTATGTGGTTTAATTGCTCCTCATCTGGAGGATCTGACAGTTGCGGTTAATGAGAGAGGGAGAGGAGGCACGCGCTGTTGGCAGGGAGCTTCATAGTGTAAGACGTGTAAGTGTGTGTTTGTGTGTGTGTGTGTGTGTGTGTGGTAAAAAAAGAGGATAGACCACATTACAGCTCAACACAAGCAACACAGAAGATTTGAGAAGCATCAAATTGTTTATCGAATTATCGAAACAGGCCCCTAAATCATGTCAACCTGAGGCCTCTTCTTACTGTAACCTGTGTGTCATTACTGCACACGCTCTACCTCAAATACACCTGTAAGCCTGCAGACACACACACAGTCACACACCATGCCAGATCTTAGCCCCTGCGCAGCCTGTGTACGGTAATCAGTTGCCAAGCAAAGGCAGGATATCACTGAAATCGAGCCTCTTCCTCAATTTTTCATCTGGCCTGCAGCAGGCCTGGCTCAGGCCCAACCAGGGACCTCCCTGACATTGTGCAGTGTCACGCACACACATCCAGGCATGGTTTGATAAAGAAAGCATCAAGACCAGTGTGCCTTCAAGCATGAGTGATGTTCTTTCCTCAGAAGAAAGAGGAAAATTATGTGAGAATGAGGGAAACTGTACTGGCGATGTTGTCCCTCTACTGAATGCCAACACATACATAAACACACATATAAACACACATCACCACAATCAACATCAGAGGCTCCTTGTCCCATTCATAAATTTCTCCCGTTGAGAAACATGGGCATATCTTAAACAGGGCATACCCGCCCCTTTTACAACTCCAGCTCAGCAGGCCCACATGGGAACAATTAGGGGTATACGCAACTTTGGCGAAGGTCCGTAGCAACCAGCTGCATCTGTTTTTATTTACCTTTTTGCACTGGTGCTGGATAATGTCATGAGCACATCTGCTACTGTGCAACGCAACCGTGGTTACATGCGTGGTTGACCCATGATTCTGTAATTACCCGCCAAGCGAGATGAAGAGGCCCAGCAAACCACTCAAAGCCACACAAAGCCTTCCTCCCCCTCTTCCTCCCCGAGTCTCTCCAGTGGCATTAAAATCCCGTCTGCCTCGCCAAAACGTGGTGCTGAGAGCTGGTAGCTGGAGAGCAGAGGAAGCTGAAGTGGCATTTAATGACTCAAAGTTGTCCACAATAGTAATTTTGACTTCATTTTGCTGTCATTAAATTGCCGGTCAGTTAATGACACTCTCTTTCTATTATGTAGGATCAAATGTGGTTATTCTCAAATGAGCTGAGATGAGATACACTTCAATCAAATTTCCTGATCTGATCTGATTGCTTGTTTGTGGTCACATGGCACAAGCTGCACACCCGGTCTTGTTGAGCCGCTTTGGGAGGTCTGACAACACTGAACATTAACTAGAAATATTTCATTTTTGCTGCTTCACGGTGGTTTCTGCAGATAAGTTCAGAGAGATCTAATCAGGAGAGGCATGTAATGCATGCAAGAATTTACTGTAAATGTCTCCACAGAGTGTTCCTTGTTTCAAAAATTGATGACACACACGCACAACTGGTCATGTAAGGCGACTAGGATTAGTCACAGGTGGAAAATTTAGTTGCAGGGCAGAGTGAAGGAAAATACCTCCATGGTGTTTCAGAACTCTAAATGAAACTAGCAAAAGTTTTCACTATTTCCAAAGGTCTTGTGTTTTTTTGAAATTGTGAAAGTTCACATTATTATGCATCTTTATACAACAAACTCAAAGCGGCCAATCACGACAGGACTTGTTTATAATAATGATGAGTGATTATGAGCAATAACAATGAAGACCATATATGGATCACTTCACAGGAGGAGTGTGTGTGGGGGTTGGGTGCCATCATGCTTAGCATCTCCCAGATGTGCAAACCATATGCTCTGACTGAAATTAAAACAAAAAAGAAACAGTGAAACATGAAAGGGATTTTTAACTTTGTAAAGACAGTTAACAGTCGGTACAGATAGGGTAATGACCAAGAGAGGCCACATGAAAGAACCGGGGATGTTGGCGTGCTTTTTGCACTACTTATTCCATTTCCTGCTCACAAGTTCACTGAGCAGATGGGGACCAAAGGCACAAGGAAGTTTAGATTTTCTGCCCCACAGCCCATTGTATATGATGCATGTAACTGCGTAACACTGCACTGTTATCATTTACAGATGCTTTGGTGCATACCAAGAGGTCACAACAACAAAGGTGAAAAGAAAAGGACAAAAACAAAAGTGAAAGATCTTCAGTCATTTAAGTCAAAGGGATCTGATTCATACCTGTGATTCTGTATGGAATACATTTAAATTAGTCATATTTAATATAACTAATTAACTATTATATATTTTACAGTGGTAATCTATCATTCGGTGCAGACAAAAAGCAACTCAGATAGAAAAATATGTTAAGCTGTTTAATTTCAAAATGAGCATCTGCTGGCAGGCTGCTTTCCCATAGAGAGATTTCTCTGAAAACAGATTCAGTAGTGCCCTCTCCTGTTGGTTCAGCATACTTTAGCAAAGATGCATAAAGCAATTCCACAGTAACTGAATGTTTAGTGTCAGAAAATGGATTTGTTTTTTTAACACAAGAAAAAAACATGTTTGGAAAGTGTCAGTTTTGCCCTAACAAACATAAAACTTCTGAAAAGTCTGAGACTCATCACTGACAAGCAGACAGACTGTGTCATTGAAAATCAAGACTTTATTACAAGTTTCTATAACACACGTCTTCTCTAGAAGGTGGCATCAGCTGTAGCAACTGCAGGGTCTTCGCTACATCAGCCTGTTGTGCTGCTCGGATAGAGACATGTTTATTTAACGCCTGCCTTGTCTGTGTCTGGATAATGTCCCGCCTCAGGCAGCGGCTGGCAGAGGTCTGGCTGTATTTCTGCTTGTATAATCAACCTTCACAGCACAGACTGACCACAGCATCACCTTTCAAGACTGCAAGCAGACATGTAACACGTGACACCGATGAGAATTAAAACAAAAGAAGTGAATCAGGAGGCCTCAAGCAAGTGTTCAAACTGCATTTGCACTGCACTGAGTCTAGTGTGACTTATCACACACAGAACTAAGAAAATTACATTTAATAATCCATTTAAAACTTTTAGTGATGGGACACACATATTTGTTAGGTTTCTACGCCTCCCAAATCCACTTCAGTCTCCTCTGCTTTGGCAGGTCTTTATTCCCACTGGGTGTTTTGAATTGTTGGTGTTCAGCTGGAACCGTTGTGAGGAAAGTCGTTTCTGGTGGTTCAGCTGTGGCTGATGTCTCAAGGAAATCTGGCTCTGCTGAAGTAGTTACGGTTGCAAGTGGAAAATCAGAAAAGCTTGTTTCAGTTGCATTAATGGAAGTAATGTTGTCCCCATCAAACCCGGAAGATAAATTTGACATCTCATCAATGTGGAGAATAAAACTGCGGGTTTCCATATGTGTGTGAGGTGAACTAGTTTTGGAAAACTCGGCGGTCATCTCTTCATTTAGCTTCCCTATAGGAACTGTGGAGTGGTCCGATGACAGCTGTTCTGTAGTTAAATCCTCATGTTTAAAGTTGAGCGCGGACAGGGCTGTGGTGTTTGGTCCAGGAGAGGATGTGATGTGTGACGCAGCATGCCTGGCTGTGAAGGCAAGATTGCATTTGTAACATAATGTGGATTTTTAGCAGGAGTAACATTAACAGTAACACAAGTGGATTTTTATTTACACATTTTCACAATCTTTTTGTGACACACAACAGACGAATTCTACATCATCTTTTAAGTCTAAAAACCAACTTGCTAGTTACCCCAAAATGTTAAGATTTTTATGTTCTGTGCCTTTTAAAATTATAATTGCAAGTAGAATCAACTAATAAAACATGACAAACAACAGTATCAGTTTATAATGTGATTGCAGGTTTCATCAAATGCAGATAGATTTTAAAACTACAAAATGATATCATTAAATGTCCTAAAAGCAATTCTCTTGCCCTTTTTTAGGTGTTTTCATTCATATATACGTATTCCTCTCTATTGCTTTGCTTTTATTTGTTTTATTTGCTGTTATGTTGACATCCTATTCATTTTTTTTTCTGTCAATCACCTTGTTTTAACTTCTACCTCACTTTAAACAGTATGAAAAGTGCTATATAAAGTTGAATGATTCATTGACTGAGCAACAAACGAAAGTGCCTGGTGTGACTACAGTAAAAGCCTTTCAATGGCTAGTGGTCAAAATATCATCCAATAATTAATCACCACTTTAGTTTTACTGTGTGCATCAGCAGCACATTCACCTGTGCATGGCAGTGTGTTCTCCATGGTCCAGTGCATTTTGTGATTTGTCTCTTTGAAGGTGAGCACAACATCCACCCAGTAGAATGGCTGCAGGAGTTGTTTGCTGTCTGCGCAGGCCTGTAAAACCAAACCGGTGTAGATGTTTTACACTGTAATAACTCCGTAAGAAAAAAGACGCACAGCACTTACAGTTTTAAGAAATTTCAGAAACTGTCTGGACTGCATTACACACATTGTACCCCGATGACGATTAGGTCTGATTTGTAAACATAAGAGTGCCAACTGTTGTTTCAGCACTAACCTTGGTGTGGAGTATATGAGCTGTAGGAATGATCAGTGTTACAAATTCACTCGTCTCATGTACA